AAGCATCGGTTTCGGTTTTTAACAAAAGAAAAAAAAAAAAACGAAAATGAGAATTCGGAAAATGTGAAAGGAAGGGGAATATTCCTCAAAATTTGCGCCAGACAAAAGGGATATTCAGAAGAACGATATTGTGGGAATATTTGACACGTGTAACGAGGAGAATCTCTTTCCTTTCTTTCGTAAAAAACAAAGATAGGAAGGAAAGAAAGAAAGAAGGATAGAATCTGCAGAAAAGGTGTGGGTTGGAGTCTTGTAGTAGAAGACTGACTTTAGAAAGCGACCAACCATCATTATTGCCACTCTTTCATTTCCTTTCCTTTCTTTCCTTTTTTCTCGCCTTTGTCTTTGTAAGGGAATTCGATGCACTAGAGCCATCTGATCTTAAAATACTTTGGATTTTTATTATTTTGGAGTTGGACCAAAAGAAAAAAAAAAAAAAAAAGTAAAAGTAAAAAAAGAAAGCTCTACAGTTAAAGTTCTATATAAGTGATAATCGGTCGGGCCAAATTATCTATTTTTCGTATTTTATTTTTCTTAAACGACAATTTATTTATGTTATGCTATGTTTTGAAGGAGGGATAAGAAAAAAATGAGATAGAACATAAGAATGGCAGAACAAAAAACTTTATATTTTTAATTTATTTGGTATGTAAAGAGGGAAAGAAAATGAGTTAGAGTATAGCTAACATTTTATCTATCTTTTATAATATCAATTTATAAATGAGGTCAAAAAAGTAATTTCATCTTGTTTCAAATATGAGAACTTTTCCCTGCTCAATCTCACCATTCGTAGAAAGATTAAATACGGTGGTTATCACTAAGAGATGTCAAATGGATCGGGTTTGCTCTTTTATATTGGCCAGTTAATGTCAAACGGATCGGGTTGGCTCTTTTATATTGGCCAGTTAATGCTTCATATCATGCCCGTATCATCCCATTTAATAATAATGTTGAGCTATGTCGTGCTTATTAAAATACAATGGGAGAATTATTGAACTTATTATTAAGAGTGCATGAGTCTTAATTTTTACTATTTATTTTTTATTAATATCATTTTCACTAATATAGTTATTTGACTAAAACAATATTAATTCAGAGTAATTAGTAAAAATCTAGACTCATACACTCTAAAAGAATATTTGTCATCTTTTCCCTATTAATTTATTGCATCAAGCCTGACTCATGACCAGCTTATATTCGTGTCGTGTCCTTGGAAAATTCTAAATAAGCAAAAAAGTACCAAACTTATTATATATACAACGAAACAAAACATATGATTAAAAAGGTATTTTCATTTTTATACCCTCTATTTTGAATATAAAAAAAATCATACCTTCTATTTTAAACTGTATTAAATTATACCTTTACATTTTAAATTCATTTTAAATCCATATCTTTTTTTCAGTCCAAAGGTTTATTTTAATTATAAAAGAAATATAAATGTCCTTCATATTTTTGAAACTTAGTGATTTTGTTTCTTATTCTTAATTTTTTGTAGGAATTTAGAACATTTTCATGGTCAATTTATTATTGACCGTGAAAAGATAAAAATTGAGTATAAAATCTAAATATGAAGGTATAAATATGGTACAATAAAAAAAATACAATGTATGTTTATATGATATAATCTTAAAATACAAGGTACAAGAATTAAAATTTTTAAAAAACACATAAAAACCTACAACATTGAAATGCCGTCTAACAAAAATTCAAATGAGATAAAATCTCGTAAAAATACTACACTTAATGTATTATATGAAAATTATAAAAGATACATATAAAAAACCGTGCATGGCAGACCCTATTTCTTAGCCTATCATGTTCATATTGGCCATTTTTGATATCTCTAATCCCACTTCTATTCTTTTCTAATTTCTCTTCCTTTCTCTTTTCTCTATTACCAAATAAAAATCTTTTCTATTTTTTGTCCCAAAATCTCTTTCACCTTTTGACCTTCATCATTCTTTCCACCTAGAACTACAAGTTAGACCTGGCCAAACTGCCAACCCGAAACTCGTCACTATTGGCCCGAGGCTAATTCGGTCCTAACTTTCAGTCCAAGTTGGGTTGAGGTTTATAATCTGAAAGCTAGCTCGGCCCAAACACTTTCTTTTTAAAAGTTTTTTTGAAAAAATTACATATTCTACCTCATTAAAATCCTGACTTATTAAAAGTACCCATTTTAAAAAACTCCACCCCTTGACTAGCTCTAATCTAAAAGGTAGAAATATATGAGTTAATGTTAAGGAGTAGAAATAAAAAGGGGTATATTTCAAGGGGTGTTTTTAAAAATTGTCCAAAAATTATTTAAAAATACTTTATAAAATTTCCGGCTAGACCAGACCGGCTCTAAATCATTTGAGCTTTTAAGTCGAGTTGGACCTACTCTCTAACCCTGACCTAAAATTTCTTTTCAGATTGTCGAGTTGTATGGCCAAACTTTCACTTCTATTTCTGCCTTTCATCCCTACTAAATATAGTGTTTACGTTTAAATGTGTAGTGTGATTAATATCAGTACTGCAGGTAATAATTATGCCGTATTTATCTTCCCAAAGTTTTTGCTTTCTTTTTCAGAAAATAAAAGTATATGAGACTACAAAAACTCATATCTAGGAGTTTTACTACTTTTGATTTACAACCTGAACACATGCGCTACACATCCGCATGCATTAATATATTGCTTTTAGAAGGGGATCTACATATGCATGATTTCTTCTTGTATATATTACATATCTACGAGCATGATTTCTTTTGGATTTGTTTCCCTTTTGATTTTTTTCTCGTGAGATTTTAACAAGGCATAACCGGTAGTTTTCTCTAATGAGTAGAGTTTTGGTTTTTTTTTTTTTTTTTTTTTTTTTTTTTTTTTTTTCTGTGGGGCAACTATCAGCTATTCAATTTGAATATTTCTTTGTGTATTATCTATTTCCTTTTCTGTTGTCTTTTAGCCAGTGTCTTCCTTGTTTTCCCTTTTCTTGAGATTTTGTTTTCTAATTATTAATTAATAAAATTGTGAACGGGTGGCTTGATGTTCTAGTTTCTCTTTATATTAGTTGTCATTTCTTATCTTTCATTTTAAGAAAGAAAATGCATGATTCTGTTGATCTCACATAATATGTATAATTAAATGACAACTAGTATGCTCCACCCAATCCAAGATATAAAAATTAACAATCCTAACTTTGGAAGTACTATATAAATCATGTCACTAAAAGGAGATGTATTTTGTTTTCTACAAAATACCAAAAGAAGAAATGTAAAAGAAATTAAAAAAAAAAAATCATGGAGTCTTCACACACAATACATGGACAGTTTCACTAGTCAAGCTAGCCCACAAAATATTGGTGGGTATATCTCATTCATATTGAACCTAACTGAGGCTGTGCCTTCATATTATATTCCGATTTCTGACCCGGATCCGAATAGTGATGGAGGTTCAGAACTCCAAAAAAATTCCCCTAAATTTATAGAGAATCTTCTTACCTTCCTACCCACTTCATTAAAGTTAGTAGCAGAAGAAGATTCCCTACTCTTAGGCTTCTTTATTATTCTTTAGAAGGGAAATAGTTTAATTTTTTTCCCTCCCTTTAAGCTTTTGTGAGTTGTGTTCCCTTAATTTAGAGTCGTAGAATTGGAACTAAGATATTCCTTCCTTAGAGGCAAATATTATATTCTTTAAGATGAATGTCTCATTTTTTAAGATTAGATATAGATATTCCCTTTTCTCTTCTCTCTGAATGCACTAAAATATAGAGCAATTATGCAACTTTTGAAACCAAAAAGAAAGTTGCATGGTAAATTGATACTAAACCCCATTTGAATATGTCCTTGTTTCTCTCTCTCTCTCTCTCTCTCTCTCTCTCTCTCTCTCTCTCTCTCTTCTCTCTCTCTCTTTCTCTCTCTCTCTCCCCCCAATTTGATGGTGAAAATTAAATAGCGGATGATGGTATATGCTCCTCGCTCAAAGCTTTTTGGTATATAATAAAAAATATATAATCATGGTAGAATCATTAACACATATTATAAGGATGATAGAATACTTTGGTTAGGACGATTCAATTACTACTAATTAATTGGTCATAAACGCGTGTCGAACATTACTGCCGGTGATATGGAGGTTTTTTTTCTCGTTGTTTATACTTTTATGGGTTAGATCACAACCATAGAATCCACTTCTCTTTTTGACCCTTTTGTGGGCTGCCAATAGTTTTTTCATGCCCCAAAAGCATATATGCATATGTTATATATGTGTGTGTGTGTGCATGATAAAATGTGTCCATTGTCTTATCTATTGGGATTTTTGTGAACCATGCATGCATGAATTTCTATGACTAGACAAATGATATTAACGTTTTACATGAATAATATGTAGTGGAGAGTGAAATTAAAGTGGTTAAGGGAATTCTTTATTTGTTAAAGGAAGATTAAGAATCATAGAGGTTTGTAGCTAGCTCTTCATGATTCGAGAGACCCCAAAAAAGAAAAGTATAGGGAGGAGGAAAAAAAAAAGGAAAAGAAAAGAAAAGAAAAGAAAAGGGAAAAGGAAAGGTACAACAGTTAAGAGAAGAAGAATCATCCTTTTTCATTTCGGTGATTTTGAATTCGTACAAAAACTACTATACACAAGGAGAGAGGCCTCAAAAGCCAGGTCCTAAGCACATGACCCTAGTGTCTGACACCTTGATTCCCTTCTCTCTCTCTCTCTCTTTCTCTCTCATTTTTGGCTTTTGTGTTGCCTTTGTTCTTTGCAAGAACTTACCATCCTTCTTTATCCCTTTGCCTTTTTCTTTTCCTCTCTCTCTCTCTCTCTCTCTCTCTCCCTCTCTCTCTCTCTCTCTCTCTCTCTCACACACACACACAAATACCCTCCTTTATTCTCCTTGAACTCACCCCTAAAAAGAAGACGATCCTCACTCGGATCCTCATTGTGTTCACAAACAACATACCTTCCCTTTCTCTCTCTCTCTCTCTCTCTCTCTCTCTCTCTCTCTCTCTCTCTCTCTCTCTCTCTCTCTCTCTCTCCTATCTCTTACTCAAACTTAGAAAGAAGCCAAAGACTATCTTTTGCCCCTGTTTGTTCCCACATACCCTGTTGTTATTTGAACAAATATCATGAACAAAAGCAACAATCACAATATCACCTTCTGAAAAAACAGTGTTTTGGCTTTTGCACATAGTCTTGTAGTACTCTTTTCCATAAGAAACAAAAGAGAGATACGATCGAGAACAGAAAAAAACCAAACCTAAAATGGCTTCTCCCTCGGAGCTATCTTTGGATTGCAAGCCTCACAGCTATTCCATGCTTCTAAAATCATTTGCAGATCATAATCAACAGCCTCATGATCAGACTCAGAAGCTCGAAGACTTTCTCTCTCGTCTTGAAGAAGAACGCCTTAAGATCGATGCCTTCAAGCGAGAGTTGCCTCTTTGCATGCAACTTCTCACCAATGGTATATATATCAATATGTATATATATATATATGTATATTATCATCATCTCTTTGATATTAGATCTAACTTTCATGCCATGCATTAGAAAAACATGTGAAATTTTGAAGAAACTAAGCAACTGTTATTTAATAATATATAATAATATTAGATTCTTGTTGGAGAGCTTTATAGGTTCCAATATGAGAGAAAGAGATCATGTTCTAACCACCAATAACATTGGATATTCATAATTCATCTATGATGATTTTAGCTTTCCAAATCTTTTCCTTTTTTTTCCCTAGCGTTTTCATTTATAGAAGTGAGAGCCAGGTATAAGAACAAGCCTTTTCATTTGTTGCCACTTTATTTGATAAGTTCATTTCACCAAATCCAAAGCAGGCAGTCATTCAACAAATGCATTTTTCTAAAGATTACTGAAAGCGAAATATTTAGCATTCTTATTATACCGTGCAATAAATCTGTCTTTTTTCCTTTAAATTTCTTCTTCTTCTTCTTTTTATTTATTTATTTATTTATTATCTTGATGATCATCTCATCGATATTAGCTAACACTTTTATTTTCCTTTTGTTTTTGGTATAATATTTAAGCTGTGGAATCGTCAAGGCAACAACTACAAGCGTATAGATCAGCAAATAACCAAGGGCCAATTAGGCCAGTTCTTGAAGAATTCATACCCTTAAAAACATCAAGTTCCGAAGGCTCAGAAAAGACCACAAACACAATATCTGACAAGGCAAACTGGATGACATCTGCCCAACTATGGAGCCAAACTAGTGAAGGATTAACTAAACCACAAATTACCACAAGTAGTATTAATAACACATCTCAAAAAGACCAATCTGACCACATTAGCTTTAACATGAGCCCCAAGCTAGCCTTGGACAACAAGCAGCGAAACGGCGGAGCTTTTCTTCCCTTCTCCAAGGACCAGAACTCGTGCCCGAGGGCCCCGCTACCGGAGCTGGCCCTCTCCTCGGCGGAGAAAGACGTCGAGGATAAGAAGTGCTTTGAGGGCGATCAAAATGGGCAAAGGAGAGAAAGTTGTGGCAAGTTTGGTAATAATAATCGTGTTGGAGTGGTCATTGAGCAAGGAAAAGGAAGTGGAAATATATCAGAAGGACAAACAAATAATAGTAGTACTAATAATAATAATAATAATAATAATAACGGATCCAATATTACTACTAGTAATTCTAATCAAACTCATAGAAAGGCAAGGAGGTGTTGGTCGCCGGACTTGCACCGAAGATTTGTGAATGCTCTTCAGATGCTTGGTGGTTCTCAAGGTAATTATAATTTAATATTAATATTATATTTATTGATCGTTAATTACGTGATGAGAAATCTAAATGATCATAAATAGTGTTATTTGGTTATTGTTGATTGATGAGCGTATATTTGGAAACAGTTGCCACTCCAAAACAAATCAGAGAGCTCATGAAGGTTGAGGGCTTGACCAATGATGAAGTTAAAAGCCATTTGCAGGTATCTTTCTCTTTCTCTCTCATTAAAAGAAAAAACGTGCTCTTTGTACAACTCTGTAACCGTCTTGCGACAAATTTTCTTTGTGACAGACGTCCCGATAATTGTAATTTCTCGCCTATATGTTCATTTCTTTTATGTTTGTGTATATGATGTGATATGATGCATTAATAGTTCATTTTCTTTTACAGATTACATATTGTAATTTCAATTTTGGACCCGCAAACTATATTGCATAGCTAATATAGTATAATTTTACATGACATTAATTTCTATTTTATTGATTTTTTGGAAAAAATTAAATAAAACAATCATACTGTGGTATTTAGGATAATGATTTACTTGTGAATTTTCATCCCAATCAAACTTTCATTGATGTTTAAGCATCAACAAAAAGAAAAGAGCAAAAAACAGAAGAAATTCATTTTCATCTTAACACCTTTTTTTTTTTTTTGGTTCTCAGAAATATAGGCTGCACACTAGACGACCAAGTCCAAGCCCACAATCAGCAGGCGCGCCAGCACCACAGCTGGTAGTGCTGGGAGGCATCTGGGTCCCACCTGAGTACGCGAGCGCCGCCGCCGCAGCCCACGGCGGTGCCCCGGCAGCCCTCTACAGCCCGCACCCGGCGTCCCATGCACCGCCCCACTACTGCGCCCCGCCGATGCCTCAAGACTTCTACGCCTCACCAGCGCCTGCATCGCCACCGCCGATGCCCCACCACCACCAGTTGCACCACCACGCCCTCCACCACCAGCTCCACATGTACAAGGCCACGTCACAGATCCACAGCTCGCCCGAGTCCGATGTTAGAGGGGCCGGGGACCGGTCGGAGAGCATTGAGGACGGCAAGTCGGAGAGCAGCAGCTGGAAAGGCGAGAGCGGCGAGAACGGCGGAGAGCGAAAAGGGTTGGCTGCACTCAGAGAAGATGGTGAAGAGAGCAATGGAAGTGAGATCACTCTCAAATTCTGAGGGTTTGGAGTGTTTAGGGTTAGGAGAATATTAGGGTTTCTTGCGTGTTTTCGTTGTATAAGTCCCAATGTCTTAAATTGTAATTTTATTCTTGTGTTACGTAGTATATATCTATAATTATTTATTTAGTTAGTAATATAAGTAGTAGAGAGAACCAAGGGCATAACGGTAACTAAAATGAGTATTTTTTTTGTTCTATAATATTCATCTCTATATGTCTAATGACATATTAATTATATACCTATTTGAGAAAAAATGGAGATTGAATTGTTATATGCATTTTTTTTGGGGTGCGTCTCATGTATATAGATCATAGATGCTAACACTAAGATTCTATCATAAATTAAGCTGATTTAAAAAGAAAATGTGCATCGAAAAATGCAAAATTTTTCATCACTGTTTATTATCTTTTTACTTAAATAAGAATTCTATGTATTGATCTTTTCATTACCATGCATGATCTGTATACATTGAAATATACTTTATTTTTTCCCAGAAAAAGAAAATTACCATATTTTATGGCGAACATCTAATTGCATTATACTTTTTGTTGGATTCAATCTTTAAATCTGTCAAATTTTGCATATCAGTCTTACTTTTATTCAATATTTAATAAATTTCACTAACTTTTTCGAATTCCTTGCATGCATGACTAGGATCCACCGACAAACATTCGAAACTTAAGTTAAATCTCTGACCCAACTTGTAAAGCCAACCTCTTTGGTAACCGGGCTGTTGTAACTCGTAAGAGTACAGCTTAATATTGGAGATCTCTCTCTCTCTCTCTCTCTCTCTCTATATATATATGTATATATATATATATGAATGTATGTATATGTATGTATGTATATCTTTTTTATTGTGAAGATTGGCCAATTAATTTATTGCATAACTTACAACACAAGAAAGGAGCACCGAAAGTCACCGTAGCCTCCCAAGAACACATTACCAACACTTTTTTTTTCACTTTGTCAAATTTCTTTCCGTTGTTTATTTACAGATCTAGTAGACTAAATTCCACCATTATCACCAGACCATGCTGGTGTGCTCCAATCTTTTTGCCATAAAGGTGCATATCCACACACTAAAAAAATTTGCTTTTTTTGTTTGTTTGTTTTTTTTAGAGTAATTTGCCAAGATAATCATGTCTGATTCATTGCACTTTTGGGTATAAATAAAGTTCTATGAAACAAAAATCACCGAGATTCATCTGGAGAATTCTCGAGAAAAACTAGCATATACATCTCAAAAGTTTCAAGTCTGAATCTCCATTTTGGTGATAATATCTATACAAACACAAAGTACATACATGAAAACCCACGTTGCAAGCCCAAAGCTTTACATGAGTAACATAAAAAGCTTTACTAATTACTATTCTAATCAAGTACCCCCAGAAAACTGAAAAGGTGTTTGCATGCCGGAAAACTTGTAAATATAGCATAATCTATTATGTAATATTGCCATTCGCAAGGATTCCACCCCGTAAAGCATCGTCGCCAACATCTTCCGACATCACCACATCAACAAGAGACTGCAAGTAAAAGATTTGCAACTTTAATCCAGTCTATAATATGAATAAAATCTAAAGATGGTAGTAAAGCAGAGAGAGGAATGGGGGAGCAAAACCAGTGTTAAGCACCCCAAAGACCATCCACGCTGCAAGAACATTGTTCCACTTAAATACGTTAAGACTACAGCATCCAGTTGTGTAAAATACGTTCAAGAAATACTACTAAGAAGTCATTTCTATATGCATACCGCTGCGTTAGAAATATGCATAAACTCAAACACATCCCTTATCACTGGTTCACGATCCAAGATCAAGTAAACCAAATTGTTTACCAAGTTTTGGATACCAAGTTATGTGGCTGTTTACTTGTTCAAGAGCATAATTGGTAAATGATATTTGAAAATGTTGTAAAGAATCTACCAATGGAAGAAAAGGCCATGATCGGGTGCAATAAAAGATAATTGTATGTGCTATCTGTGAGCATACTGAGGTTCTAAACTATGAATCAAATACAAAAAGAAAGTACATAAGAAATTTTGTTTCTGTAGTCTTCTGTACATGGCTATTTATTTCTAAGACCAACCTGAAGTTCTTTTTCACAGCTTTTAAGCCTTTCAGTATGCTCTTGAACTTGCATGAAGCTTTTGTGAAGCTGCAGATAAAACCAATAACATCAGCATTAATCTCCAATCATGTTCAAAATATAAACAGAATCTCCGAAAAGCAAAATTTTAAACCATTGCAAATACCTTGGTCAAGTGTGTCTTACGGTGCGAAGAAGTTTTCTTCGCATTTATTAATGCATCTTCCAGTTTCTGCATCCATTATAACATTCTTAGCGGGAGAAAAAAAAAATTGTGAATAATAGGAAGAAATAAAATGAAACATTGAACAGATGACTTCTGCATTTAGAATAAACCTACCTTAGACTTTTGCTGCAAGTCCAAAACAAGTTTTCCCTTCTCTTCTAGCCTCTCTTCCATTTGCAGAATCTGTAAAGGAAAAGCATATTAGGTTCTTCTGCAATAGATACAGCGGAGAAAAAGAATAATACGTGTGCAAAAGCACGCATATATGTGTATGTATTAAAAATACACACACACACACCAGAAACTTGTTGGACGGATAATCTGAACCTCCGAACTGGTAACTCAACAAGGTACATAATTTTCAAACTCAAAACAAAAGACACAGACCTCCTTTTTAAGCTCTTCAAGCCTTTGAACGGATCTCTGCAGTTGTTCTTCTGCCTGATAAGGTAAAGAGGAAAAACAAAAACAGAAAATACAGAGATTAGCAGAGAAGCCTATAATGTCATTCACTATCTTAATATATATATTTGAACATGAACTCACCCGATCATCAGAATCATCATTTGAATTGGATAAAAGTTCTCTACTATGCCGATCAGTGGTCTTAGAGCTGTAGGAAAGAATTTTCGTTGGTATAGTGAAATGAAATAGTCACGTTTTGATGCCAATGTGCTGCATTATGTTATTTTCTCCCTCTCACACCAAATACAAAGACATATTTTGTTGAAGATCAATCCATCTCCAGTATCCCTGATATCCGGGAGATTTGGAGGCAATTAAGGGTTGATTTAGTAAATCCTATTTTTTAGAGAATAAAATCAAGGCCTTATTATTTTTAGTTATATGTTTCCTGATTTGTTTCCTAGTTTGTTGGGATAGTTTCTGACCAGAATATGACTATAAATTCTAGGTCTTTTCCTATATGTTAAGAATTATTCTAATAAGAAATTCTGAGCAGTGTTTTATGGTTTTCTTCTCCGGTATCTTTTCTCACATGGTATCAGAGATAGGATACCGTTGAGAGGAAAACGACATGGCCAATAGCTTTAAGCAGGCCCTCACTGGGTTAAGCAAGGACGGAAAGGAGGGAGCTTCTGCTGAATCTTCCCATGTACCGAGCCTTACAATTAACCCCATTGTACGCAGAGGAAAAATTGGGTTTCTTGATGGCTCCACAAAGAAACCAGACTCAACTAACCCTGCGTACACATCGTGGGACACTCAGAATGCCTTGGTGATGTCCTGGCTCATCAACTCTATGGAAGAACATATTGGGTCATTATACCTTGTTCACTCCGCGGCCAAAGTCATTTGGGATAAGGTGAAACTTGCCTATTCTGATATGGAGAATCCAGCACAATTGTGTGAATTAAGAGACCAAGCTAGGGATCTCAAACAAGGAAGTATGGACGTCACAGAGTACTACACTAGCCTTACCAAGTTATGGCAGGAACTGGATCTGTTTGAGCCAAATGATTGGTGTGGTGAGTGTTTAGAAAGATATTTGAAACGTGTAGAAAAAACCCGTACCTATGACTTCCTTGCAGGGCTAAATAAGGATCTAGATGAGGTTCGTGGTAGAATGATTGGAATCCGACCTCTACCTCAGATTGAAGAAGTCTTTGTTGAAGTTCGAAGGGAGGAGAGTAAGCGCAAAATTATGCTCGGTGATCCTAGAGGAACTATCCAAACAAAGGGTTCCGCACTGGTCTCCAAAAGCCACGAACGGAACAGAAAACCAGACTTCTCTAATGAATCACGACGTGCTAGAAGAGGGAATCTTTAGTGTGATTATTGTCAAAGAACCAATCACACTAGAGAAACTTGCTGGAAATTACATGGGAAACCTCCCAATCAGAACAACCGTGAACATCAAAGGCAACCTGGACAGTTTCAAAAAGAAACCCGTGCCTATCAATCCAATGCTGAACGGATTGAACAAAAACCTGGTGAAAATTTGGGTAGTATCAACCTCAGTAAGGAGCAACTTGAGCGCCTCTACAAGTTACTCACTCCAGAGAAAGAAACTGGTACTTCTTTAATTGCCCAGCAAGATAATTTCCTTTCAGTCCTAAATTTCACAACAGAAGTAAAAAATTCCCAAATTATTGACTCCAGGGCCTCAGATCATATGACAGGTTGTGCTCAATTATGCTCATATATTCTGAATTATGGTCACACTAAAGTGTGAATTGCAGATGGAACCTTGTCCCCGATTGCTGGAATTGGAACTTGTCAGAAATATAGGAGTAGATAGGTTTAGATATGGTTTATGCGTTATCAATAAGATTTAAATTCTAGAGTTTAAATTTTGTAGTATAGGATAAGAATCGTTAAAGATAGGATTTGGAGTTTATCTAGAAGAAGATTAGATTCTCAATCTCTTCTATATAACTATTGTTTTCTGGTTATGTTGAGATTAATAAGAATAAATATTTTCTCCCAAAATCCTACATGGTATCAGAGCCTAGGCTCTTAACCTAATCTTCCAATGGCAAAAACTGCCATGGCCGGCGCCAACAAAAATTCATCTTCCATGAGAGATGACGCAGAGAGTTCGCAAGACAATTCAGCCACAGTCCAAAGCAGTGATGATGGCGTTTCCCTCAAACCGTGAAGCTTGTAATCGATGGAAACGGGAAGTTAGAGTTCCTGACAGGCGAGGCAAAGAAACCAAGGGCGAACAACCCAAAGTTGAAGACATGGAGATCCGAAAACTCCATGGTTACCGCACGGCTTATCAATTCCATGGATTACTCGATTGGAAAGCCATTCTTATTCCTTCCAACCGCTAAAGTAGTTTGGGATGCCATACGAGAGACCTATTCCGACTTAGAAAATTCATCTAAAATATTTGAGATAAAATCAAGACTATGGCAGGCAAGACAAGGGGATAGAGAGGTCACGATTTATTACAACGAGACGATGAACCTTAGGCAAGAATTGGACTTATGCTACGAGGAAGAATGGGACTGCACCAATGATAGCGTGCGCTATATGAAGAGGGTGGAGAATGACAGAGTGTTTTTTTGGCCGGACTCAACAGGGAATTAGATGAGGTGAGAGGTCGGATTCTAGGAAGGAAACCACTTCCATCCATCCGAGAGGTGTTCTTTGAAGTGAGAAGGGAAGAAAAGCAAAGGAGTGCGATGATGAAGAAAGAAGAAGCGAGAGGAGTAACAGAGGCCGAAACCTCTGCCTTGGTTTCTCGGGGGGCTGACTTAGATGGAGACAGGAGAAACACAAAGAAGAATGATAGGCCATGGTGTGATCACTGTAAGAAACCTTGACATACACGGGAAACATGTTGGAAATTACATGGAAAGCCGCCGAACTGGAAGAAAAAGAATGAAGGGGGTGGCCGAGCATTCCAAGTTTCAAATGATGACCAAGGGCAGCAAGTCTCAATAGAAAGCTCTCCATTCACAAAGGAACAGATAGACCACTTGTTGAAAATCATCCCACAATTCTCTATAAATTCCTCAAATCCATCATGTTCTCTAGCCCAGAAAGGTAACTACCTCACTGCCCTTGTTAGTGTCGATTCCGATATAAATTGCCCGTGGATCATAGATTCCAGTGCAACTGATCATATGACAGGATCATCAAAATTGTTCTCTTCATATAGTCCATGTGCAGGAAATCAAAAAATTAAAATAGCGCATGGATCCCTTTCAGCCATAGCTAGGAAAGGTTCCATTGCTATCTCTCCATTCATCACTCTTCAAAATGTTCTTCATGTTCCCAATTTGTCATGTAATCTCTTGTCTGTCAGTAAACTAACTCAAGACTTAAACTGTTAAATTCACTTTTCCACGTCTTCTTGTAAGTTTCAGGATTCGAACTCGGGAAAGACGATTGGCAATGCTAGACAAAGTGGAGGACTCTATTTTTTTGAAGATGGATCAAGCTCGGGAAGACATGCTCAAAATACTTGTTTTAAGTCTATTTCTATTTCTAACAATAAAGAAGTCATGTTATGGTATTTTGGGTTAAGACATCCAAATTTTCAATATCTTAAATTTTTGTTTCCTAGATTGTTCATCAATAAAAGTCCATCTTCATTTTAGTGTGAGATTTGTGAATTGTCAAAACATCACCGGGCTTCCTTTCCTCCACAACCTTATAAGGACTCAAAACCACTCACAGTTATCCATAGCGATGTTTGGGGACCTTCTAGGGTTAGCACTTTCTCTCAAAAAAGATAGTTTATCACCTTCATAGATGATCACACACGGGTAACTTGGGTGTTTCTATTAAAAGAAAAGTCTGAAGTAGAAGTTTTCAAAAACTTTTACAACATGGTTCAAACACAATTTGAAACTAAAATTTAGGTTTTCCGAAGTGATAATGGAAAAGAATATTTTAATAAAATCTTGGGCAAATTTTTCTTAGAAAAATGGATTGTACACCAAAGTTCTTACAATGACACCCCTCAACAAAATGGGGTGGCGGAATAGAGAAAACAAAACATCTTGAGGTTGCTAGGTCACTAGTCTTTACAAATAATGTTCCAAAATACTTGTGGGGTGAAGCAATCCTTACTGCCGGGTTCCTAATTAATAGAATGCCCACAAGAGTTTTGAAATTTCAAACACCATTGAACTGTTTTAAGCAGAAATTTCTCACATCACGGCTTGTCACTGATATTCCACTTAAGGTACTTGGTTGTGTTGCATTCATTCATGTGCACAATCATAATCGGGGGAAATTGGCTCCTAGGGCAAAAAAGTGTGTTTTTATTGGTTACTCACCAACACAAAAAGGGTACAAATGTTTTGACCCAATTTCAAAAAAAGGTTTTTGTAACTATGGATGTGACATTTTCTTTGAAACACATAAATATTTTTGTAAGAATCATCTTCAGGGGGAGAGTGATAGTGAAGATGCAAGGTTAGAAACTGAACTTGACCTACTTGACCCTCCTGCTGTGCTTGATCATGCTGCTGTCAAATATCATGTTGATCCCGCTACTGCCAAATATAACAAGAACCATGATCCTGCCGAGAATGACCCCTTCGAAACAGTAAGGAAGTCTCAAACCATCTAAATATGAACCCTATGTCTTTAGAATCAAGTCCAAATCCACATCTAGAAAATGATATTTTAGAAATTGGGAATGATGGAGGACCTCTTTCAATGCAATTAGATGACCGGTTAGGAATAGAGATGTGTGAAAAACCAAGTGGAAAAATTCAAGAGCTCCGCGTCTACTCGAGAAGAAAACCGATTCAAGGAAAGAGAGTTCCTCCTTTGCAACATGGCCATGAATCCAACTTGGGAATGAATCCAGAGTCCCCTTCAGGTACATCTCTGTCTCAATCAAAATCTTTAAGAGTCTAGTGTCCAAGCTAAGTCTATTAATAACTTCGATGTTCCTATTGCTCACTGTAAAAGGGGTTAGATCTTGTACACAACACCCCCTGTCCAACTTTTTATCCTATGAAAAATTATCACCTTCTCTTCGTGCTTTTACCTCACAATTGTCTAGTGTGGAAATTCCTAGAACAGTGCAGGAGGCTCTAAATGTTCCTGAATGGAAGAAGGCTATTCTAGAAGAGATGAGGGCTTTAGAAAAAAATGAAACTTGGGAAGTTGTGGACCTACCGG